AGATTTGATCATATCATGGTACATGAAACTCTGACCCTTCACATTTTAAGAAGATAGAATCATTGAACAACAGAAAAACGATTTTGACCACAACGATAAGGGTTCTTGCTGATAAAGACATCAATGCTGGATATTTTCTGAATGTGTTCCACCTCCCTCTTGGCTCGAGCTTGAGTCACTGAATTATACCAACTTGAATGACAAAGACGTAAAGTGGAAATCTTGGGCCAGGTAGCTAACGAAAGGTGATGTTTCATCGTTTTGCATAGTTCATCATCCAGAATATGACCACATTCCAATACTTCCAACTTTTTACAATCTTCAAAGTTGGCTAGTGGATTAGCATTGCAATGATCAGGCATAATGAGTTCTTTGAGAGCTGGGAGAATAAACTGTTCAGTAAAATCTGCAGGCGGATATCCATCATCGATTCCCTCAAACTGAATGCAAAGTTTAGTAAGAGATGGTGCAGATCCACTAAGTAGGCGGTGTAATGTGCGAAGATTTATTGGTCTACAGCATCGAAGTTCAAGCGTCGTAAGTTGTTCGACCCAACAGTTTAAATCCCAAGTTTGATCCTTTAATGTGAGATCTCTGAGACTCAGTTTTCGAATGTTTTGATGCCGGGATAAGTTCCATCCGAAAGACTCTTCCACAGTCGATGTTTCAGAGAAGTTGAAACGGGAAATATCCAATGATACAAGAGACGGTAATTCTTTGATAACTTCAATCAGAAATTCACCCGGAATCCTGGTGCTCTCTGCGTAACCGCATAATGTTAAATGTTGAAGTCGAGGAAGAGGTTTCAATAAACCTTTCAACCGGATTGTAAATTGAGGAAATCGATCCCAGTGACCATTCCGGCATGGAATGGTGATTGATATTGACTCTAGAGAAGGACAAGCTTTGATAACCTTTTCAACATTTAGCAGTCCAATTGCATATCTGAAATTGCATGTGAAATTTCCATCCATGGGCACTGTATTATCATAAAGACTACGACCAGTCTCCAAAAACTTATAGTCATCAGGAAAGAATCGATTTTCCAATTCAAACT